AACAACTGAAATATAAGTTCCTATTTTTAAGAGGTTTATAGAAAACTGAAACCACTATGTAGCTTTTGAACAACCCTCCCCAACCAGCTCCCTGACAGATATTTTGGACTTCAGCTCCCATCGTCCCCAGGCAGCATGGCCTATGGTCAGAAATGCTGGGCACTGTAGTCCAAAGCATCTGGAAAATACCAAGGTGGGGAATTCTGCTTTAGGAACATAAAAGCACTTTTATGTTCCTAAAGTTATATTATATTATAACTTGCTTTCCCCACAAAATTATTACTATATTTAACAAACGTTACATGGAAACTCCTGAGCAGAGCAATCCTATGGCCTTTAGACGGTATCTAGTGTGCCACCAGATGTTTTGCTTCCCAAGAGCCAAAGCTGGACAAGAGCCCTGACCTCCACTCTGGGGACTGGATCCCTGCTTGCCTCTTCCTCCCCTGCTGGAAGCCACTGTGGAAAGTACTGCACTGGCTGCTTCTCTCACTTAACCATGGGCTTAGGGGACTTACTGGGCTTAGGGGATGGGGTGGCGGGGGGGGGGGGATGCATCTAGTTACCTACAACGTGTTGCTGTGTCATGCAAGACCAGTCTGCTTGTCCAACTGGGTATGATGTCAGAAGCACATGCGAAGCTTTGCCAATAGCGAAAGGACTAAGGAAAGCTCTTGGATAAAATAATAATAATAATAATAATAATTATTATTATTATTATTATTATTATTTCTTCATTTCTATACTTCTCCATAGCTGAAGTTCTCTGGGTGGTTTAAAACAATGTATAAAAACAAAATAATAAAATACAATAGCTGGTGCATGGGGCATATTTCATATACCTGCGTAAATTATACTGGGGTGTTTACAGGAAGATCAAAAACCCTACCCATCCATGCACCCACACACAGAGACACACAAAGAGAAAGAAATAAACACCTCTGTTACATTTTTTCATTTCAATTACACCTTCAGCTATTGGGCTGGAGGAAATCCCCAAGCAAATTCTCTTTATACAAGATATGCTTGCAAATAATCTATTTATATTCTGATTGATTTTTAGACATTCCCAGTTATGAATACTGTTACATTTGGGGACTTTTTAAAGGTCAAAAATTATTGAATACAACAAGCAGATACATATTAGTATTTCAAAGTCTTCAGGAAGGTTTTTTTTTAAATATCCCTCAAAGCTTGAAAATGTTCCAAAAAATCAAGAAACTGAATTCATGCAATAATGCAAATGTCTTTAGCAGATAGGATGGTCGATCTAACTTGAAGGGGGGGGATCCTTCACTCAGTCCTTTGAGTGGACCAAACTATGCTGGCACACGCTGAGAGTTGTAGGCCTTTTTCTAGTAAACTTGCATAGGATTGTGGCATTAATTGATCTATTAAAAGTCCATTTAATTCGTTGACAAAGTTTTCCTTAATCAGGAGATATCCTTAGCCCCCCTGCCCCCCCCCCAAAAAAAAGCTGGGGGACTGCCTGTGAAGGATTTCTCTGCAGCTAGTGAGAACAATCCTCATATCTACTCCGAGGTAAGTACCACTAAGCTCAGTAGAGTTTACTTTTAAGTGTAAGTTCCACTGGAGCCACAAATGTTTAGGATACAATCCTATGCATTTTTAGTTAGAGAAAAACCAACAACTTTTGAGAACTGTAGGACCTTTTCTGCCTAAATATGCATAGGACTGCATGCTTAAACAAGCTTCTTTTTCTCAACCTGGCACTCTTCAGGCATGTTGGACTACAACTCCCATGCTGGCTGGAGGTGATGAGACATTTAACTAACACATCTGGAGGGCACCAGGCTGGAGAAGGCTGCCTCAATCCATCATCTGTGATGGCACAGGACATCCAATTTTTTCATCACCAGGGACTGCCCGGGTGAGCATGGAGTACCACAGACAGTAATTGCCAAGACAACGATCCATATATGTCCTTCCACCTGGAATGCTTAATTGTCCCCCCATCCAACAAAACAAGGAGCTGCTTTGCAGATGCCATTGCTTCCTAAGCCTCAGGGTGGGATGATGCTTCTGGAAGCCTGCTTTGCAAGGACCAGATTAATCACTCCTAAATCTCGTGACGGCTTCCATCCAAAAACTAAGACAAAACTTCCCAATGCTGCTGCTAATCCAGCCGGGTTTCCCTCAGACTATTTTATCTACGATCTGCCCATCCGTACGCTGCAGATCTGGGGCTAATGTGATGCAGTTGAGCCTCTACGCGAGACTTTCTGCAAGAGCGATCCAGCGAAAACATTCCATGTATATCTGGAGTGATTTAAAGGCTACGGGGTGAATGGGAGGGGCGGCCGGGCGGGACAGGGGGAGTTAGCAAGCCACAGCAAACAAAGCTGTTTCCAGAAAAGTATCGGGAGCCTGGGATGGGGGAGAGGAAGAAAAGGCCTTTGAAAGAGTTACAGGTGTTTTCACCATGGGCTCTGCAGAGAGGACATTCCGTTTCACATTATCCAGCTCCAGCAGGCACTCCCTAGGAACCCATGTCCAGCTACACCTTTCCAAAAGAAACAGAGCTTGAAGAGCTGCAGGAACTGCTCAGGGAAAGGTTCACGCTTCACCACATTTATACAGTTAAATACCAAATAAGGCAGCCTGTCCAAACTACATTCCCAGCAAATGTGCTGGACTACAGCTCCCATCCTTCCCAGCCAAAAACGGGAGGGCACCTCGTTGGAAAAAGGTGATTTAAGGAATCTGCTGAAAAGAAAGCAATTATCTAGCCATTTAAACAAACTCTGCATTTTGCCATTGATCACTTTGCAAAATTCCTGGGCCAGAAGCATAGCTTGGCCTGTGCCTATGGGGTCTCAGCCTCAAATATAGCTCCTGTGGCCTGGATCTAACCCACAGACTTAGTTCTGTATAGAGGGGTGAGAGGCTACCCCCCCCCGCAAAAAAAATTCTCAGCTGCCTAATTTTATGTTGCAAATTAAAGACAGTTTACGATTTTGCCTTTAAATGTCCTGCAGACCAGATGAACTGCCCCCACCTTCTTTGTCCCCAAAACTTTTCGGATTGGTGCCAAGAGAGGGTGCTTTTCCTCAGCTTAACTGGCATGCAGGGAGCACTTTTCAAGGGGACTTGCAAATTGGGAGGAAAAAGCTCAGTCTCCGCTTCCTACTTGCTGCAATACCGTTCCCTCTCCAGATCTTTCCCTGCATGCAGTTTAGTTTGTGGGAGGAACTTTCTCCACTGGTTCGAGATGATCTCAGTTGAGATGCAAAGTGAGGGAAGAGTTTGTTTTATCTCCAGTGATTCACATGAGAAAAATCAATTGGTTGGCTTTGTCTTCTGTGAAATTTAAATACATCTGACTAATTGTTTATCCTGAGTTGTTATATATATTAGCATATGCAGAGTTTATGTGGATCTTATCTTATGGGCCTGTACCCTGAATCTTATAAGTGCCTAGCAACACCCTATTAAAGGGTTTTTGTTTAAATCCCAAGGGACAAGGAGACCACAAATAACGAAGACTTTTACTTTCTAATCCTGACATCATGAGCCTGCACTTCTTCCTCCTGGCTGGGCTCTCTCCCACTGCTTTCCATGGGACATGCTTCCAAGCCTCAGTGCTCCACCAAGAAGAATTCCATCCCTTGCCTTGACAATTAGATCAAGCATCACTGTCAAGCAACTGGCCCCGTGGGCAAGCTTTGCGTTCAGAATTCCTGCACGGGGTGCAAGCTGAACTTGTATGAACACATAAGGTTCCTGCTAGGACTCCCATTCCTGCTCAGCAAGAATGTATCCAAAGCACACAGAGCGAGGCCAGGAGGAGAATGTACCAAGGAGGGGAATGCTCTGAGGAGCAAAAACAAGACCTAACCCCTGGAAAGCTGCCTTCTCCAAGGCAGACACTGCAAGTCCACTTTTGATCCGCCATGGCCGCGTCCTTATCACTGGGATCTTCTTCCTGCTCATCTCACCGGGGTCGCATCTTCCATCTGACTCTGTGCTTGTGGGCTCCCTACAGAGATCAGCAGCACTTCAGCTCAAAGAACGAGGCAAGCCAGTTCCCATATGCATGGCTAGGATGTTTCATTTGGAGACTTAAAAGGAATCGTGTTAATGAGTAGCTGAACTGGAATCAGCTGCTGTTGGGCACCACGGAGCCTGCAGAGCTAACGGGGCGGCAGCGGTGCGGGGGTTCAAAGGCAGGATGTGGATCCGAGTTTCCGAAAGGAGCACTTGCGCTGCGCGAGATGCCCGCGTCTGCGTCTCAGTTGGGAAGCGCTGCTCTCCCCAAGGCTGAGGCAGCTGCACTCAGACGTGCTGAGCAGACGCGCACAGACTGTGCTGCAAGACCACATTTCTTTCTTCTATAGATGAAAGGGTATTTCCAAGCAGGTGTCTTATCCTTATCAATTCCTCCCCAACCAAAACGAAATTAGTCAAACGCTCCAGTGTAAGAATCAGTTTTTCCCATATCAATAGTGCAATACATGATTACAGCTGAAGGGGACCTCAGATTCGAGGTGATTCATGCCCCAGAACTTACAGCTGTTCTTCTCAGCCTGTCGCCCTGCAGACACGCTGGACTACAATTCCCCCCACCCCAGTGTGCCTGCTTGTCCAGTCGGGGATTAGGGGAGTTGAAGTCCATTCAACACGTCCTCGGGAGGGCGACAGGCTGGCGTAGGATGCCTTCCTATGTAAGGAGGCAGTCAGGATGAAGATGAAAGGAGAAAAAAGAATTCGAAAAACAGAGAGAGAGAGATAGAAAAGGAAGGGGATCAAGTTTTCGCTTTATCCTGAGTGGATATAAAAAACTGCATAATTTTAAAATATTTTTAACGTGGGTATGGGCGTGATGGGACTTGATGGCATGGCAGAACTGAATGCCGACCCCCCCTCCCCCTCGCCAGCGCCCCTTCCCTGAGGATGCCCGAAGGATAAAGGATTCTGGAGAACGCGGGTAACCCTCCCCAGGGCCAGCACGAGCAAGTTCTGAGAAGGAGGGACTCTACCTGGTGCCGCCGGGGAGGCGGAGTGGAGCACAGCAGCGAGGAGCAAGAGAAGCGCCCAAGCGAGCAAGTGCATCCGCGGAGCTGGAGCGGCAGCAGCCATGGGGCCGGTGTGCGCAAGGACCAGCGCCGCCGTCGATGGCGCCAGAGGCTGCGAGGAGGCTCTCTCTCTCAGCGGCGCTCGCCGGAAAGCCCGCGCAGAAAGCGCGCCCTCGCCCCACGGCTCCCGTCCGGCGCTGGGACTGACGGCGGCGGCAGCGGCAGGGATCAGCCGCGCTCCGTCCCCGCTGCTCGTCTTTGCGAACTCGCGCTGGCTGTCGCCGCGCTAGCGCGTTCCCCTGCGCCGCTCTCGCTCTTGGCGCCCTGTCTCCTCCTGCTGGCCAAGCGCGGCATTACAACCGCCCAGGCGGAGAGGCGCCCTAAGGAAAGCAGGAGGGAAGAGCCCCCGAGGAGTGTACCAATGCAAATCGCGGAGGGGGTGGTACGTTTGAATGCAAGACACGCAAACCAACGAAAAACTCTGTGTGTGGTAAACAAGCGCAGCAGAAACAGATGGCTAAGCTAAAGATCTCCCCCGATGTTTTCTAGGGCCAGAGCATTTTTATTATATTTTATTACTTTCCAATTTCTCCACCCGGTTCCCAAGGTAGCATGTATCTCCCATTTTTATCTTCACAACAACCCCATGAAGTAAGTCAGGGTGGTAGATCCGGGGGCTTCAAATCAGCAAGAATTTCAATGTATGTCTCCCCCATCAAAGTTCGCCACTAACCACTACACCACCCATCTCATTTTTAAGTTGGGTAGCATTCAACGATGCAATCCACCAAATGGCACCTCAGTCTCCCATCCAGCAAGTCCTGTCCCTTTATGATCCTCCGCACTTTCTCCACCCGAAGTTTTTCCCACTTCAAACCCAGCCAGATCAGAGAGCTCTGAGCTGTGCTTCTCTTTGCAATAGGTTGTTCAAATCCCATCGTTCTTTTTTCCCCGACGAGAAATGCGCCCAGTGGCTACCAGAGGCAGTAGAGGACAGGATTCGGAGAGGATCTCCCCATAGAAGGATATCACATACTGCTCGCCTTTCCCTGAAGCAGCCAGAACTGCCCTTGTGCATAAGGCCCAGTTTGGGGCTCTTCAGGCTTTTCACCAGAATAAGTGGATCTTGCAAGCCTGAAGTTAGCCCTCCATGATTTGGAGGGACCCTTTGGACGGGCTGCCCATGTTTGCTCCATTCTAGAAACACTTGTATACCAATTATGTGCACAAAGAAATAGGTACATAATATCTGCCTCCATGAATGTCCCTTTTGTGCAAATGGAGCATTTGAAGTTTAAAAGAGAAGGGACTTGTGTAGCTACACCTTCGGGCAAAACTGCAGTAGTAAGGCACAAACTAGCCAGTGGTTCCCTAGCCTAATGGACCAGTTCCCCCCATTTAGCATCTCTCCTACACGTCATGCTTTTGTGCATATATGTGCCCAGTGGATTCTTCCTTCTCCTCCCCTTCCATGCAAAGACTTGCCAAGTTTCTGGGCAGCATGGTGGAGGCTGAAACAAAAGGCCACTCAAAGAGCAGATTCACCCCTCCTCAACGAATGTGATGCAGCCCAAAAATTATTTTAAACTTAATGGTCTTCTTAATTCTATTTGTATAGTGCACCATTCCAGTAAGTATGTCAGCCTGTACAGTGAGATGTGTACCATCACTCAGTGTGAGCCCTTAATCTAGTGGAATGATATGCCATCCCTTCACACTTAAGATAAATGCATCTTTCAAACTAAACACTGCAAAGTTTAGCATTGCCAAGGTAGCTAGTCCTAAACAGAACATCCCAACTCACCTCCTTTCTGTTGTCCTTTGCCAGGCAACTGCTTTGAAAGTCTTCTTGTAGGGATTTTCAGATTTCTCATGGTGAGCACAGAGCTGACAACTGCATCACCCACACCATACTTTTCCTACACAGAAAGTGTAAATCTTGTGTGTTAATGAATTGTCCACAATCCAGTGCCCTCCAGGTGCTTTCGGACTTCAGCTCCCACCAGCCCCATCCACCAGGGTCAATGGTCAGTCTGGGACTTGTACTCTAAAACATCTGGAGGGTACTGGCTTAGGAAAAGCTGATGCAGATAATCTAAAATCACATTTGGCCTTTTTGTTAACATATCCCAGTGGATTCTGCACCCATATCTAGGGAAAGAATTGCAAACATGTAGGAGTGAAAGTACCAGTTTATTGGACATCTATGAACTTGCTTACCTGGATAAACTTTGTATCCTCAGAGGACACCTTAAGCGGGGAGCAGGGAGAATAATGACAAATGGAATTCCTCTCAGAATGGAAATATGCAATGAATCAGCCTGCCTGTGCCGTGTTTCAATAAGCACAGACTTGTATCCATGGTTATGTGGAATTTGTTTGCTCTGCTACCTTAATTTTGCCAGTGGTGGGGTGTGTGATGAACAGGAGTATCAAGAACCTGCTAATATTTAGAGAACACATCTAAAAATGGTAGAACATTCAAAGAGGAGATAGAGTCAAACCTCAGATCAGGCCTGCTAGTACTCCTGTACCTCTATTTTCACGGCTTGGCAAGTACAGAAGGGCTGGGCCCACACGACTTGTTCAGCCACCAGGGCTTCAAAACCACAGTGCTGTAGCCCCTTGTGTGAACCTGGTGGAGTGCCCATGGGGTGGCTTCTTTGTAGCTCTGTAGCCATGCCAAGAAGCCATGGTTTATTTCAGGGTTTCCTTAACCCTCTGTGGCTTAGAATGCTGTCCAAACCAGGACAGTCCAACAAGCGATGTTCAAGCCAAACACTTGGCAAGTGTGACCAAAAACAACAACAAGTGTCTAGCAAGTGACTGCAAAGGCATCTCTTTCCTACAGCCACCCCAAGAGAGCACAGTTTATGATTTTATAGTTAAAATTTTTTGTAAGTTTGATATTGGACAACTGGGCTGCCAACTTGAGTCACCCACCCTCTACAGTGCCTGGCACAGGCTGCGGATCAGAATTTGACAGGTCAGGATCTTGCAAAGTGAGATCGTCTTTGATGGAAAGGGGCTCTTTTCATCTTCTCTGCAGTATGGTCTCCTGGCGTTTGGAGGGATATCAGGTGTCCTTGGCTGCACCCCAGTTTTGCAAGTGTCCCCCCTGCTACTAACGAGGAAGGAACCTGGAAAGCTGGAGGAAAATCCCAGTGACAGGAGGCAGGGCTTCACTGGACTCATGCCAAATGCCCGTCTCATGTACACTGGAATTGCTCCCATGTTTTGCCACTCCTTGAAGACTGGGCTAGCGTTTTGTTCCCGGGGTGGCCATGCAGAGGCCCCTTGGGGGCCACACTACAGCAGCTTCGGTTAGCCTTCATTGTTGCTTTTCTCGGAGCACACACAGCTTGATTCAGAGTGGGACCACATCACATGCACCAACACCACTGGAATCGACGGAGGCTTCTTTTTTCTTCTTTTTCTAACACCCCCATACGCATGTGCGGGGAGACTTCAGGAAAAACTCTTTGTGTGTGTGTGTGTGGGGGGGGTGGATACAGATACAATAATAAAATACATAATAAAATACAGAGACAATCAAATCATCGGAGACTTTCAATATACACCAATTAAAACAGTTTAACTCTCCCTTCGCAAAGCACCAGATTCCCATTCCAAACTGGGCTAATGCACATTTGCACAGGAGCAAAGAAGGACTATTAGCATGGAATATAGTCTTGTCCTGAAATCATGCGAATACCAAGAGGGACCGGGGAGGTGTCAGTGGGGGGGGGGGGGGGGGGAAGCAGACAGACACCCCTCTTCATCAGTATTCTGGAAACTTCATGCCTCTTTTGTGCTTGGTCAGGCAACTGGCACAGGAGCAATTCTAGCCCCACGGGTACCAGCCCAGGACTCAGTTGGAGCTCAGGATCAGAGACCACCCTGCAGCTTGAGTGGGGACACATTACCCAAGCAAGCCTGGCTTAGAGCAACCCACAGGGTTTTGTAGCCCAGATAACTCTTCCGGGAGCTCCACCTTCTCAAGCACTGCCTCTGGTGTTCTTAAAGGGCCAGCATCCTTTCCTAAAGTCACTGCTTTCCTCCAGGTGATGGGGGTCTGTGAAGGAAGAAGCTGGTTGCGGAATGTTCTGAGAGCTTTCCTGCTCCTTGCCGGAGCTCCGTGCCTTAGACTCAGAGGGCCACAGCACCTGCAGAGGATCGAGAGTAGTGAAGGCCCCAGATCTGCTTCTGACTGCTCCTCAGAATGACTGCCAGTCGAAACCTCCGCCTCAACGGGTTCTCATCCCCCAGCCATGATACTGTGTATGTTCCTTGGCCTGACTGTGATCCCTAACTTTATCCTGCCACCCTCAGATGCAAGGGGAGGGCACTGGTGTTGAAGTAAGATTCAGATGCCCAAAAGGTTGGTCTTTCAACATGGAATGGGGAAGATGCCCTCCTGTCCTTCGTCTCAGGCAGCGAAAAGTCTTGGGCCAGCCCTGAGGCCTGAGATGGAGCATGAGAACGTCCACACTCAAAGTGTGAGCTCTGCCTCTGACAGATGACAGACCTTCTGCTTTAGGCGGCGATTGTAGCGTTGTGTCTTTCTGCTTGTAGAGCTACCCACCTTTAGAGCCTCTCCGGTTTTTTAAACCTGTTAATGACAATTATTTTGAGAAAAAGAAGGGCTCTGTCCCAGTATTAGAAGATGGCTGTTCATAAAATTGCCTGTGTGAATAATTTAATCTATATGCATACAAATGACCCACTCACTCCCTGCAGTGACGAGTAGAGATTGGAGTGCCCATCTGCTGAGATAAAGGGCCTTTCATCTCTCAGCATCCATTCCAGGCCTCCTGGTGAAACAGAAACACACAATTGCCAAGCTGGCAAAACTGGTTGCTTCCCAATGGACAGTACAATACATTGTCTGTCCATAGCCTGTCTGGTGTTTCCACTAACTCCAATGGGAGTGTAAAGGGAAGCGTTTTTGGAACTCCTGCTGTCCAATTGCATGGTTCGCATTTGTGGCCATTGGCAAGTGGAGGCAGCAGGAGCAATGTTCCATTTGATGCTGGATCTTCCATAAATTACATTTCTGGGTACACGACACTGACCCATTGTTCCCTGAAAGTGATGTGGAAAGCAATTATGCATAGCCCAGCTTATTAATGCCAAAAGATTGC